CATTTATAGCCTATTAAACATCTGAAAGTTTTGTAATCTCATAAATAGAATAACAATTACATACACTTTAATCTTTCTTTTCACAAACAAGTTGGAAGAGAAAATTTCAAAATTCGTAAATCAGAATAAAACTTACTAAAGTAAAGTTTTATTAAACTTACTCACTGTGTCCACTTGATTTCCTAACTTCAGCCTTGGTGTTTGCTATGGACGAATCTATTTTTGATAGGAAATGAGAAACATCATCATTATCTATATAGCTAGGTGAGGACACAGATGGAGGTCGTGAAGAAGATGAACTGGCTTCAGAAGGTGGGCTTGTTATGTTACTCTGACTTTCACTAAATGCAGCAAATGGACTATCTTCTGGTATAGGAATTAACAAATACTCTTTTAGAAACAAACTATCCGATGTGTACATTCTGTTTGCCCTTCTGATATCTTCCATCTATTAATTCGAAATTAAAATAAGTGATTTGGAGAATATTAAAAAAAGAACTAAGAAATTAAATGACTTTAAAATAGTACTCACTGTAACTTCATACTTTAGGGCTAATCCTTGAAGAGTATCCGTTTTTGCCACGGTATGTTTAATAAATTTTTGATTTTTATTTACATGTTTACTAGTACTTCCATATTTCTTCAAAGAACGTACGGAATCCCGAATGGATAGCCTTTCATAGGGACTGTCCATTTCTGATTTTTCCTACGACTTATAAGGTTTAAATATCAACGTTTTATTTTATGCACATTTCACTTATCATACAATAATAAACAAACTACCTCTTCAGAAATTAAACTATATTTATTTTGCGCATATAACTTAGAACAAACAAATTTCATTTTTGTGAGGTTCATTCGTCATTCGATGAGAAGACGTGCATTTTTATTTACTTTCTAATTCAGATCATATGAACAGGTTTAGCAATAAACTACCGACCGTTAAAAAGATAACGATTTATAATAAACAGCATGAAAAAACCGAATCACGTAGTGAGTGGAATAATTAAACTTTTTTGACGGTATTTGACTTTGACGTTGGTTCATTTTTTGTTGGTGCTTTCATGACAGATTGAAGTATTGAAGGTCATATGCAAATGAAATAGTGTCACATACTACGATTAACACTACAATAAGTTAATTTTTAAAAAATACTATTAAATTTTTTAGGTAAATGTCATAATACTGCGGTATTTACAATCAATCAAACAAAATTTAACAGAAAATATAACCGTAATTATTTGTAATTAAAAAAAAACTGTTGAATTAGATAGCCCTACGAATATAGTGTGCACAGTTACTTTAACTTTTCCATGAAATTGGAAAAGAAATAACGCATATTTAACTATCAACTCCGACTTCATGTGTGAATGCTATCTGCTGCGTTATTATTTGAAAACAATTTTTATTAATATCTATTTACTAGATAAAAAGGAACATTTTTCAGGAATTAAAGACACTAAAAATGCAGTATATTTAAACAGTTTTAACCCAAAAGCAATGCTTTAAGGAAAGTTGCAGTGTTTTAATCAAATAGACAAAAAATTTCGAAAAATAAAATGTCATGTTAATTTATATGGCAAGATTGCAAATAGAGGCCAAAACGGCAATTATAACGTCGTTTTGACTTTGCTTTTCGTGGAATAGAGTCAAAGAATATAAGTAAAATATTTTTCCACATTAATGAGAAGAAAAAATCAATTTTGTTATTGTTATTTTAGTTATATATGTAATTTATCTAACTATGTATTCCTTTGGTAGTAAGCACAATTTACATACTCGTCGTGAGCATGTAAAGAGACAATGATGCACTGACTTTGTCCAAATAATAAAGGACAATCTGCAAAGGAAAAAAAAGCGATAAGTGTACGGCTTTCTTTAACTTTACATAGTCACTTAATAATATGTATTGTTTTGTCTTTATCTCAAGTGGAACACTTGAAAATGAGATAACAAATTAAAATCAAAAATTTTACAAAATCTAAATAAACAAATAATCACAATTCAAAAATTTTAGTTTACCTTTTCTAGAAAAAATTTCATTTTTCGCTACAATTCGAAAAATTCGTCTTGCTCCTGTTCCAGTCTTTGTAAAGATCTTTGCAATTTTTTACCTCCTGAGGTGACCACAGTTTTTGGAAGATCAAAACTGTCCACTGAACAATTACTGTTATTATTAACACTACGTCTCATTCTTGAAACAGGCGCTTTTCTTCTTTCCATTTCTATATCAAAATTTGTATCTGTAAAACTTTAAAAAACAAAAAAAATATATACCCGATGCAAGTAAAATGTTATAAGTGCATTTAAAATAAACAAAGTATATCTTTGTAATTAGATCGTCCATATTAGTTATATTGACCTTCACTACTGAATTTAATTCCTTTAACATGTAAAAATGACCTTCAATATATAATTATCCATTCATCGAACAAAAAAAACTGTAATAATAACTGTTCTCAATTTGGTATTTCCTATTTCAAATGCATTCAATAATTTGAAGGATAAAACTACAATTATTGTTTACGAGACTGTGAGCTTCTTTAATTTAAAAATAAGATAACATTTAAGATTTGTAAGATAAGATAACAAAGAAAGATTTGAAGTCTGGAAAGATAGATCAGGTACGAACCACTTTACAGCAGCTTACAAAGTGTGCGAATCCTCTAGGTAAAATGTTGGGATATTTGCACGAAGACGTTGATGCTATGCAGGCAGAACTGAATATGTGGTGGGAAAGCAGGAAACAGGCTGAAAAGGAGATCATAGAACAGAAAAAGTATAATAATTATTTTTTTTTCTTATTGTATATGCTTCACTTCATACCTGTAACGTAAATTATTTATTATCATTAGAGCCATAGAAGAGGAACAAAAGCCATTATTGATCCAATTGGAGACCGTTAGGGGAAATATCGAAAAATATAAGAAACAAATTGCAGCTGCGGAAGCCAACATACTGCAAAATGAAAGAAGAATACAGAATTTACTACTTCTAAGCTAAAAAAATATTATATACTCCAAATTGTATCTAACACATGTAATAAATTGTTTTGTACAGCATTTATTAAGGTTTTGTTTAAATTTAATATAGAAAAAGAGAAAACCATAAGTAATTAACAATTTATTATTATTGTTTTCAGTTTATGATTTACAAAAAAAAAAAAAATTTAAACAAACACTTATTGTCGGCTACTTACAGGAACTGTTACGTCCATTATTCCACCTGACCAATTGTATGAAATATTTCAAAAATATTTTGTAAAATAAAGGACCCAACGTTCCGCAACTTTAAAAAGTGCAAATAAAATAACAATGTATATAATGAAAAATAATAAGTATCATCACAACAATAAAAATTGTGCAGTATGTGATGAATACAATAAAAAAATATGTGTAAATATAGGGAAACTTTTCAATTTTTTAACATCACAACTAAAGAGTGAAGAAAATGCAGCAACATTTCGTTGGTTTAAATTCTTAACGTTTGCTTTGCAACACAGGAATCCCCTCTGCTGTTATAGTTAATTAATAATTCACGAAAAAGAGAAAAGAACTATATGAATAAAAAATATATGACGAAATAATGGAATAAAACTATAAATTCTTACTATATATAAAGTTATGTATGTAATGCATCTTATCTTTTATAGAAACATATTCACTGTGCAATTATTATTTAAAAAAAACTGTTCCAAAAAAGTATTCAAACATTCGCACATGGTATGTATAATTATGCATTAGGATTGCTAAAGGTAAAAAATTGTTTACTATTTTTTTTTTGTTAATACTTTAACCTGTTCAGTAAACTTTAACTTTTAATATATGCATCTATTAATTGTTTGAGCTTAAAGCAAAGTTAAAACGAATATAAAAAGTAATAAAATATTTACACATAACATTACTGTTATAATAAAATTGGAAATGTACTGTTTGAAATCAAACTCACCGTTTGATTTTCCATAACAATTAATAAAATTATTATTTAATTACTCCTTTGAAATGAGCTTATTTAANTAATTAATTTAAAAGTATATTGGTAAATGTCATAATACTGCGGTATTTACAATCAATCAAACAAAATTTAACAGAAAATATAACCGTAATTATTTGTAATTAAAAAAAAACTGTTGAATTAGATAGCCCTACGAATATAGTGTGCACAGTTACTTTAACTTTTCCATGAAATTGGAAAATCGAAAATTTGTGTTTTCGAATAAAATTGCATGTTTTTGCGGTGTCTTGTTTGTAAAGCTTTCTTAAAGACTGCAAAGACTGAGTGTTTTTCATCATGTCTTATCAATTATATAGAAATACGACGTTAGGCCATACCCTTCAAGAGAGTCTTGATGAACTTATACAGGTAATATAATCCTACTTTTTTTTTTAAATACTAATACACCAATATTTTTATAGTACGGTCAAATAACACCTCAATTGGCATGTAAAGTGTTACTACAATTTGATAAGTCAATAAACCAGACTTTGGCAACGAGAGTGAAGTCAAGATTAACATTTAAAGCAGGAAAACTTAATACTTATCGTTTCTGTGATAATGTATGGACATTTATGCTTAACGACGTCGAATTTAGAGAAGTGCAAGAAGTTACCAGAATTGATAAAGTTAAAATAGTGGCCTGTGATGGGAAAAGTGAGGTTAAAATGTGAAATATAAATTTTATCTAATTTTTCCCTTTTTAGATGTGGCAGATGAAGGAAGTTCAAAGAAATAATCTGTTTATAAAATATGTGTGACAAGGGGACTGAGAATTGGTCATTTTTGTATATATAACAAAGTGCTATACATGAAAGCTCATGGAACTAGAGTAGAGACTATTAAATGTATAAACAAAAACTGAGGAGTGTTAACCGTCTTTAAGTGTCTGTAGATGTGTAACTTTTAATTTTTCGTTATTTGTGGGGTTAAAAGGATTTGTTAATTATGTTTTCATCATAATCATGATATATGCAACAATGTTTGGTGTAAATTAATAAATTAAGTTACTTAACCTACGTGTCATTTCAATTTTAATCAATTATTGATTAAGCGATTTTTGGTTTTCTTTTATTAATTACTCGTTCCTTTTTCCAGTTTATTAATGAACTTTTAATTAATCATTTAAAACAAAACAAGATTTCAGTAACTTAACCTAAAAAATCTATATCCTTAACCTTACTTTAATTACTGTCAAAACTAAAACAATATATTCAAAAGGAACCAAACTACATTAAATATATTCAAAATGATGCAACAATACATGAAAGAATTGGAACAGGTGTGCAAAAGAGCGTTTACTAAACAGTTTCAAAAATTTTTATAAGTAAAAATTGTAGGATCCCTTTGATGCAGAAGAATTTGTAGAACGTTTAGCTTACAGAACTATTGCAGAGACGAAAAAGGCAGAAGATGATGATTTTAATCCTTCTTTATTACACGATGCTTTTATACAGACAATTAAGTACTAATAACATACCATATTTATTATTAACGATTTAATGAATAAGATTGTAGAGATTTAACACTCCTACAAGAGAGACAACAAAAGAAATGTGAAAGACTAGAAGCAGCTGTTAGAGAAGATCAGTTAGTTTTTTGTCAAGAGATTCAGACTCTTCAGGATAAAAATAAGGTAAGATGGATATAGACTATATTTATATTCAATCAAACTAACCAAATTATTAATTTAGAATAGCGTTCAAGCATTTCAAGAACTTGATGGTAAAATTAATAATGTGGCAACGAAAGTACTTCACCTAGGGGATCAATTAGATAATGTTAATGGTCCAAGAGCTCGTGTTGTTGAAGCCCAGAGACTCATAACACATCTTAACGATTTTTTAATGCCTGGACCTTTAAATTCATCACTTTTCACTGATCCTTTTAGGGTAAATTTTTTAATATATTTTTCATAAAGTGAAAATTTATTCAATTTGATAACATTCTCCAGATTGAAGAAGCTGCTGATATAATTCAAAAACTACACTTAATTGCACAAGACTTGCCTGTTTCAAAGTAAGAAATGTATATTCAGTTAATTTTTCAATGAATACACTAATTAAGAGGTAACTGTAGATTTGAAGAAACTAGAAAGAAGATAGAATCAACATATGATGATATTGAACGCAAACTGTTTGCTGAATTTTGTTCTGCACAAAGAAAAGACGATTTTGAAGGCATGAAAAAGATTGCCAGTGTTTTGTCTCAATTTAGGGGATATGTTCAATGCATAAATGCATATATTGAACATAGTCAAGCAGTAAGGAGTACAATTTCACCAAAAAGTAATCTTTTTTGTTACTCAATTGTTTTCAGGGATGTTTATTGAATAAAGATGTTTTTGGAAATTTGTTGCCCTTGTGTAAGATGAACTATACTATAATTAAAGAAGTTTTTGAAAATCCAGGTCAAGTAATGACAAAGTTTGTCATAAATTTATACAATCCAAAGTTGGAGGAATATATTGCTGGTAGATTGTCTCAAAAGATGGACACAAACAATTATCTGAAAACACTTTATGATTTATATTCAAAGTATATACAATAGTTAACTTTTCTAGAATTAAAGTTCATTGTCAGGAGAGTGTGGAGATGTATATTTTAATTAAATCAAATGTCATATTTTTGCTGTAAACAATCCAACTAATGAAATTGTTTCAAAATGATGAAATTGATCAAGACAAATTGTTGAAATACTTACTTATGGGGTCTAGTTATTATTTACAATAAGCCTAGTTTGCAGGAAAAATATAAACATTTATTAATTGAATTTCCACTACTTACCTGACGATGGCCTTTATTGTTAACATTTAATTTCTCTTCAGGACAAATCAGCTTTCTGATGACTTAGCATCATTAAATATGGGAATAGATAAAAATTTTCTTACGAAATTAACTGGCAATATTTTTCAAAAATATATAGGCAATTATATAGGGTAATGAGTTTACAATTACGTTTTTCCGCTGTTTATGGTTCTTTTATTTANAGTATATTATTATTTCTTCATACAGGTTTCAAGAACTTCGAAGAGACATACAAGCGGTTATTGGCACCAGGGCAAACATAAACATTGTACAAATTGAAGATTACGGAGGGGAAACGTTTTTATCGGAAGAATTGGCAATTACTATTCTACAAGACACGAAAAACGCTTTACAAAGATGCAATCTTGTAAGTATACTTGATATTGTGGAAATAATAATTGTATTGTTTACACTTTGATGAATATATAATTATCTAGTTATCACGTCCAGAGGAACGAGCGGCTAATGCCTCACAAATAGTCGATTGCCTTCTGCTATCACTACTAACAGAACATATTGAATATGCTCTTGAACTCGGTTTACAAGCCATTCCAGTAACAGAAGGATCAAAAACACCCCCAACAATTCATTTTTTTAGCGTTGTTAATAAAGCCAATATCATCATTCACCTGTTGGAAAAGCAATTCACGGATCTCGCTTTACCACTCGTTATGTGAGTAAAAGTCCCACAATCCCTTGTAAAACTTTAATAGTTTGCAATAAATTCTACAAATTTCCTTTTGTTGAATAGAAATACTCCTAAACTTAATGACTGTCTTCATAAAAAAAAGATTATTATGGAAGATATTGAGAGAAGAATTAATACTGGCTTAGAGAGGTGTGTATTATGAATATCTGTATATAAAGTAGTTACTTATTAAATACTTTTTTGTAGATCCTTTAATGCTATTATTACTTGGGTAAAATTATATTTACAAGCAGAACAGAAAAAGACTGATTATAAGCCTGAATCTGAAGACATAGACACTGTAGCTTCACCTGTAAGTACTAATATACAATCATTTAAGAACGTGTTGATGAATAGCTAAATACACATTAAAATGAGGTTGAAGAGAGGTCTTCCGCCCTACCCATCGGCTTTGCATTATAGTATAGGTTGGAGCGACTGACCGCCTATCAGCATTATTAAGTGATAGGACTGAAATGTCTATTCAAAAATTGTTATTTGAAATAAACGAAAAAATTTTAACACATATCTCAATATATTTTGCAGGCTTGTAAAGCAGTTGTTCAGTATATAAATAGTGTAATAACACTAATTAAAAAGAATTTAGATGGTAAAAACGTGGATGTAATACTTCAAGAATTAGGAATCAGACTGCATAAAGTAATATATGATCACATGTTACAGTTTCAGTATAGCACAATAGGTAGTACTAATTAAAATAGAACTCCATTCATGATAAAAAATTCCATCTTTATTTCTAGGAGCAATGATTGCAATATGTGACTTAAATGAATACAGACAATCCACAAAGTCCATGGGGGAGTTGGTTTCAAAACTTTTTGATACTCTGCATGCTCTTTGTAATCTCTTACTTGTCAAACCTGAAAATCTTCAGCAAGTTTGTTCAGAAGATTCCTTGGTATTTTTATTACATTTTTTAATTTTTTTTTCGAGTTTAAGTACAATTTATTTTTTAGGTCGACTTGGACAGGTCTGTGGTAAACAACTTCGTACAATTAAGAAGCGACTTTAAGGTACAAAGGCAAAACATTTTAAGGTCTTGATTTTAAACAAATTATTGATTCTATTTTCATATAATGGAGTATTAATATTTATCCATCTTAATTACTTGTATGTTATTAATTTATGTTATAATTAAATATACCCACCTACAGAATTGAAATAGGATTGGTTATTTATTCCTAATATAGGGTAAAACTAATATATGCAAAGGACAGAAATCGAAGGGTTTATTGAAAAAAAGGCTAGTAATTTTATAACTTGTTCACATTAAAATCATTAAGTAACAGTTTTTTTAAATACTTTGTTACAGAATGTAATCTCACACGTTTACAAGTTATTAGTCACTTTAGAGGCTTTTATTTTTCTTATTAAAGTTACCTTATGTCTAGATGAAATACAAATCCTACAGTAATTATAAATTGCAGTAACATAATTGTTAACTGAAAAATTCATAAAAAGAAAATAACGAGAAACAATGGAATAAAATAATGAGAAAATTTTTCTTGAGTCTTACAATTTAACTGTTTGCTTTCATATTTTTGTCTATTACTGCAAAATTTGAGTTGATTCTGATTATGTGAGGAAGAAGACACGGGGAAATTCTTGTGGTCACTGGTAAGGCAAAAGAAACCATTTTTAAAGTACAATTAACAACATTGTATGTAGACTTGACACTTTTCCTACAGTAGAAAGCTATACAAGGAACACAACATTTTGTCTTCTTGTCATTAAGTGAAAAAATTAGCTCTCTTCAGCGCATTCGGTAACGATTAACTTCATGCACTTCACCAAGATCACCTTTAAAATCAAGCTCGATTATAAAATCAAGATCTCTATTATTTCTTGGGTTCGGTTTCATAGAAAATGTTCCGTAAATTTCTTCGTTCTTTTTAACGGTCATGTAGTCTTCGAAATAGAATACCGTTTGTTTCCAATGGGTATAGGGAGCTTCGGGAGCAGTACTAAAACCTACTCTCTTGTGGCACTTGGTAAACTCAACATTAAAAAAAGTAACAAGGGCTTGGATGTAGTCATTTCTGCGTACTTGGAGATTAAAAGGAGCTGTAAACTCCAAATCTGACTTGGTAACAGTATAGAGATCCACTTCTTTGACCAGGCAAGCATTAGTGACAACTTGTTTTGGATCAACTACATCAACAAGGGGTTCACTTATAGCAACTTTACGAATTGGGCTCATATCAAAACCATAAACGTCATCCCACCAATTGATTTTCTCATCTTTATATTGTCTATCTTCGATAGCAGTTATAAAAAGAGAGCAACGATCAGGAAATAGTAATCCATTGGGTTCCAACCACTTGTCTCTTGCATATAATACTGTGTCAAGCATACTTTCATAGAACAAACAGTAACCCATCCATTCTGAGATTATAATGTCGACTTTCTCCACTCCATCAGGCAATGTTACTTCCTCAACTTTACCCTTAATTATTGTAATTACATGGTCAAGCTTATTATGTTCAACTATTTGTTTGGCGTAGTCAACTATATTTGAACATTCAATAGCAATAACCCTTTTAGCACCGGCTTTAGCAGCAAACATACTCAAAATCCCTGTCCCACAACCAATGTCCAAAACGGTTTTGCCCACAAACAAGTGTTTGTTATGATACATGCTGTTACGATACGTTAGAGTTCGAACTTCATCTTTTAACATTTCTTCGTGAATACCAAAATGAGCGTAAGAATCGAAATAATAATCACGCGAAGTCATCTCTTCGGCCGGAATATCGTTGAGTGCTTTGTCTGGGGTGACGTCCATTGCTTCCAAATTAGGCCCATTTACAGTCTGAATAAAATTGATATAGCGCTATTATAAGTTCCCCAGGCAAAATAAAACAATTTGGCGTCAGAGGGCAAAAAATAAAACTACAAAACGAAAAGGACGTTGACAAGCACAAGAGACATAACCTGACTCGATGATGAAAAATACAATCAAACAATGAATTCAACTATTTTACAGCAACTGCAATTTAACGAATGATAATTTCTTTAAAAAATGTGTCTTTTTCAATACAAATTTCCCACAAACTACATTTTTGAAAACAATAATGTGTTCACAACCATCACCCTCAATTTATTGATTAAACATTTTAGAAAAATAACTACACGTTCAAAAGCAATGTAACAACAATCAAGGGGTCAAATTATTATATATAAAAGAATATTTACCTTTCCAGAGGGGGTGCTTATACCGTTTTCTCGAATAACTGAACCGCACGTTGAACAGGCTGCCATTTTAACTACCGGCGAAAAACGGAAAAGAATGCCGCGACTACGAAAGGTAGTATGAAAAAATGAAGTGTTTATTGTCACCTCTAACGGAAATGTCACCTAAATGAATGTTTTTTGTTGTTTATGATAATTGTAAATCTTGCTTCAGTTTATTTAATTGCTTTTAATTCAAAATTGCTATTTTCATGAGAAATTACATAAAAAGTATACTATTACTGCTATTACTTTTAAATTCTACTTTACTACACAAGTGCCATCTCCTCATTAAAGTACAAACAAACAATGACGGGGTAAGGTATCTCTCTTTGGGATATATCGTTTTCGATGCTGATCACAGAGGGCCACATTAGTTCTTTCTGGGGCTTATTCGAATTGTTTAAAAATAAAAAAAATCTTGCTTCAGTTTATTTAATTGCTTTTAATTCAAAATTGCTATTTTCATGAGAAATTACATAAAAAGTATACTATTACTGCTATTACTTTTAAATTCTACTTTACTACACAAGTGCCATCTCCTCATTAAAGTACAAACAAACAATGACGGGGTAAGGTATCTCTCTTTGGGATATATCGTTTTCGATGCTGATCACAGAGGGCCACATTAGTTCTTTCTGGGGCTTATTCGAATTGTTTAAAAATAAAAAATTGTAAAAATTAAAATAAATATGTTGGATAGTAATATTTATTGTTAGATTTTTTCTTCTAATCTTTTTTCGATACCTTAAGCAACGTGCTAAAAAAAGATTATTACAAAAAAGCTAGAAAACATGGTATCATTCTAGGNGTTTATTTACTTCTTGCTTATCTAATAGATGAGTCGAAATTTTTTCAAGTTTCCCTTTTTGAATTCACATTTGCTTTGAAGGAGTTAAGGTTTATACATCCCCTTCCAATATATGTATAGTATATACACTAGTGGCGAGAATATAACCGAACGTAGGAAGTCTATTATTTAAAAGATACTACGTCGTGATCTAGTAGAATTCGTACAAATATCTTCAGCCATATTTTTGTGTAAATAATAAAGTACTTACTGGTATAAGTTCAACAAATGTAATTTGAGGCTTTGTTCAATTGATATTGAGAGTTTAGTTTAGCTAAGAACAGTTTTAGGGAAGCAAGCGATATTTTCAGACGGACGTGGTTGAGAAAATATATTCTACATGTTCATCAAATTATGCATGCATGAAAAAATGCTCACAAAAAAATGTATAATCCATCTATCTTCTGCGAACGGTTTGCTTTATTTGTTTAATTTCTCCGAGTTAGAAAATTAACGTTTGTGAGGAACTGTAACTGAATCAAGCAATACAAGGTGTTTTCCATATTTGAGCGGCTGAAATAGCCCAATAGTTCTCTTCTCTTCGTATATAGCTGTGCTATTCTCTTTATGCTGTCTGTATCTTTCGGGGATGCTAAGTCGTAATCCCTATTTAATTAAATTCCAGACGCGCGGATCCGGGAGTACCTAGACTGTTCTTGTCATTATCCCACTTCTGATATACCTTTACATTACGTAACTGTACGCATACAGCACCTCTAACTTCTTTATTTATTTCGTTTTTATTAACGATTTGATACATAATTTATCCTGAAAGGATGTGTGTCCCTATAGTATCTATATTATGAATCCTGAAGGATTAAGATTACTCATTTAGGTTGACGTTAATTCCATCATTCGACGTAATGCAAATTTTAAAAAGCTTAATGAAGTTTGTATGAAAATAAATAACAGTAAAATAAAACTACTGGTACACAAGAGAAGAAAAAGTAGGGAAAGAGCGAATATAAAGATAAGAGATGAAAAATTAGAAGAAGTGACTAATTTTCGATATCTAGGAAGTCAAATAACTCAGGATGGAAAGAGTAGTACAGATATAAAAAAGAGAATAGTGCAGGGTCGAGTCGCTTTCAGTAAAAAGAAGTTACTTCTTTGCTTGCGAATGATTAATTTAGAAATTTGAAAAAGGTTGTTAAAGATGAATGTTTGGAGCACGGTGCTGTATGGGTGCGAAACATGGACGGTGGGGGTAGCGGAAAAGAAAAGGTTTGAAGCGTTCGGAATGTGGTATAACAGGCGAATGATGAGGATAGCGTGGATAGAGAAGGTTAGAAATGAAGAGATATTAGAAAGAATAGGAGAACAGAGGACTCTATGGAAGTCAATAAGAAATTGGCGAGATGGGTTGGTAGGACATGTTCTCAGGCATGAAGGTCTAGTCAGAGATATATTAGAGGCAGAAACAGGAGTTAAGAGGAGTAGAGGTAGCCCTAGATTAGATTACTGTTCATAAATAGTTAAGGATATTTATAGGAAAATGTAGAAGTTAACTCAGGATAAGGAAAAGTGGAGGTGCGTATCCAGCTAGTCCGGGCGACGACTTTATGATGATGAATTTGCAGATAAGGCAAAGTGTTCACATAAAAAGGTACACATTTCTTTGAAAACGGGATAAAGAGGAAACGAAGACTTGAACATTGTAAATGCAATAAACAGTATTAATAGAACTAGAGAATTCCTAATTTCAATAAAGCAACAGGAATATGTAATTCTAAACTTAATAGGAACTGCCAAAATTAAAATTAATACAGAACAGGATTTTCAGATATCGAAAACGAAGACTTCCGGCAAAAACTGAACACTGTGAATCCAATGCAGCGAGCTTTGGCATAAGTATATTTTACAGAAAAGAATTTTTAAGCGTTTAAGATAAAATTACAAACTTTTTACGAGATAAACTCAAAATGGTTCTATAACGTTTCAATTCAATAACAAACATTCTGACAAACCTTTTAGTCAAAAAGAATATTACTAGTGAAAATACAGGAAAATTGGTTCTCCTATATCCACCTGATCTCATGCCTAAATTCTAAACGCTTCTCATGCTCTTCTATGCAAGGCATCATGAAATTAGCTGCTAACCATAAAAATGCAGTTTTCGGTGGCTTCGGACGCAAAAAAATACTTTACTTAAAATAATTAAGAATTCGACCAGGTCCGTCATTAAAGAGGAGAGAGTTGATGTCT